ATATGGTTGAGCTAGTAGTTAATTGTACCTTGATTTACTATTGTTTGGTGTTTTAAATTATATTTTTGTTGGGTGTTTTATATTTTTTTTGGATTTTCGTTATTTAAGCTGTTGAAATGTTATTTTAATGGAAAGCACTTTGGTCAACTCTAGTTGTTTTTAAATGTGCTATTCAAGTAAACTAAACTAACAAACAAACCTTTTTATTTATTTATTTTATTTATTTATTAAATTTCTTGTCTAAGAGTTATTTACATAAGTTCTGAGAGGCGTCCATACTGTGAACTGGCATTGACTGATGATGTTTGCGGCTGGCTAGTGTAACTACTACTGCCACACGAAACCAGATCAGAGGAGATGACAGGTGAAAGTGAGACAGGCGTGTGCTTTTGTACAGTTATACGCTTATTATCGGTATTGACCAAAATTCATGGGCCAAAAAAGAGAAAACACAAAATAGAGATGAAATGTATTTATTTATTTATTATTAATTTATTAATTTATCATTATTATTTTTTACTTTTTAATTTTCTGTAGACAACACAATATCATTATTGTGATTTTGCTTGCTCACAATGATAATGTAGTGAAAATCTGTTTTGGTGAAAAAAGTTTTGGTAGCAGCCCTAATCTGAATTTGTTTGGTGGTTTTTGATTTGTTTGTTATAAGGCTTTGAGTTGTTAGTGTATGTGCTCTGAAACATTGAGCTGTGATGCTGATGTGGGCTACACATGGTCTAGCCCAGTTCACAGCTTGATGAATGTCAAAGCAGTCATCTTCATTTTCAGCTCTGCTTCAGCGTAGAAGCGAGAAGCTTTTTCCACTCCAGCATAACCCCATGTTTAGATGTTGGCGGTGTTTATTTGGGTTTGGCTGTGTTTCACCCCTGTGGTGAAGCATCTGAGAGAGATGGATCACAGGCCGTTGTGTGTGTGGATTATCACCTCCGCCGGCGGGAGATGGTTCAGGCGTCTGGAGGCCCAGCGTCCGTGTCCTTGAGCCTCTCACCTCCTCTGTCTGAGCCGCCACAGTCTATCGACAGACGCTCATTTGATTTGTGTGTGTGTGTGTGTGTGTGTGTGAATGATGCAGACATGGATCAATGCGGTGTCTGGACACGGAACACACTAGCGGTCACTCTAACTGACATTGATCAGAAGAGGAGAAAGAGCAAGAGAAAAAAAGGAAAAGATAGTGGCAGATGAAGAGAGTAATGGAAAGAAAATGAAACTCATTCGCTCAATCTAAACTAGACTGTCTAGTAATGATTTTATCTTTTAGTCCTGTGCTTCTCAACTGTTTTTTTTTTGTTACACAAGAAATCAAGTGCATTGCAAAAAAATGGCAACTTACTTTTTTACTTAGTTACTTAGTTTTGTTTATTATTGTCTTAGACTTGTTTTCCCTTCATAAAATCTAAGTATCAAAAGTATGTTTGTCTAATTTTTAAGTTAAAACATTTAAAAGTCCTTAAAACAAGGTTTACTTCAGAAGCAGGACTACACAAGATATCAAGACTTGTTTTCAGGCAAATTGTCTTTAGTATAGGTATGTTTTGTCTAAAGTATTTTTTTTATAAATCTTGTTTCATAGACTTTTAATATATTTACCGTAAAATTACACAGAAATTTTCAGGCAGAATATTATATTTTGGAGTGTGGCTACCAAACAAAGTACCAGCAATAATTTTTATATAAAAGTAAAAAAGAAATGTCTTTAAAATTAAATATAGAAATGTATAACCATGGCAAAAAATAATATGCAATTTCTTTAACATGGCTTGGGTTGAACAGGATGCAATTTGAACGAAATTTTGTTTGTAAATATCTCTTGAATTTTGTAACTGGCTAAAGTCTATTTATGATTATATGGTTAGTGTCATGTTACTGTTTGTGGTTAGCAGTGTTTTTCCTTGCTGTCTGTGACCCTCAGACCTGAGACACATTTATTTTCAGATGTAAAGTTCACAGAGGTGAGAAAACACAACAGTCTGTCATTTAGTAGACATACCAGTATATGATTTAAACATGAAAGGCTGTTTTGTGCATCCAAATGTAGAAATAGATCCAATGAGGTGCCAGTCAAAAATATAAACATGAGGAATGGTTTAACCCTCAGCAGAATGCTCTTGCTAATTCACAGGCATTATGTCGTAATGGTTTGACCCGTCCAATTGTTATTTTCAGGTTTTAACCAAGCACTAGTCAGTGCCAGGCTGGAGGACCAGTATCCCATCAGCCCCTGCTCCTCTATTACAGTAAATAGGGTTCTGAAATACAGTCTCTCTCAGCTATGAGCAGATTATTTCATGAAAGTGCAAGAAGCTGAGGATTTGAGGAAGGGTTTCTTTGCATGGCTTATATAATATATGTAGCATCAGCAGATAACTGGAGCTCACTATTATCCAGTAACACTGCACCCGCCTTCATCACGGTCTTCCTGCCTGGGATAAGATGGGTGGCAAGTAATTGCATTGATATCCGCTGAGGGAAGGCAAGCAGTACAAAGGCATTCCCCACACGGCTGAAAGTTTTAATACGCTCCAAATGCTTCCTCTGCGCTCTCCCGTAGTGCAGTCAGAGACTCCGAGGTGTTTTACATTACTCAAGTCTAGCCTCATGTCGACTTCAGACATTCTTTAGAGCAGAACGTCCCTTGGATTATATTATTCATCACTGGAGACCCCCAGGGTTCTATTCTAGGCCCGCTCAAGTGGGAATACAGACTCCACACACACTACCAAGAGAAGCATTTCACATTGAGTCAGATTTTGCACTGCTTCTCTTCTGAGGATAGTCATAGCAAAACGGTTGACTTGTTCATATTTGTCTTTGAATGGGAGATGTCCAGTACAATAGGAAATTGAATAGCAATTCTGGTTTTGTAGAAGGGGTGCTTTCAGAATCTCTGGCCGTGGATTGTGTGCTTTCAAAGAGCTTTCAGCTACTGTATGGTGTCAGCAGAGCAGGTTATCTCCTCTACTGTAGCCACAAACAGAGCCGTGAGCATGTTACCATCGTGTGGGAGTCAGAGGTGAATGCTCTGAATGAGCTGAGCTGAACAATAGCTGTATGAGCAGGAGTTGTGGGATGTGATCTCAGAGGTGAAGTGCTGATTGAATGAGGCTCAATGAGTCATGCAGGGCATCTGTGGGTGGAGGTTCAGCTACATGATCCACTCTGTGAAGCACAATGATGGCGTTTTCCATTCACATTCAGACGCACTCGGCAGAGGAAGACACCATCTGGAAATCACACCTGTGACCTGATTCACACAGATGCCACTAAAAGGGCCACCATACCTGCCACTCCTCTCTGAATAAGCAGTGTCGCTAACTTGCCACCCACACTCATGGTTAGCACTCAGATCACCCTGTGATATCCTTACAGTAGTCAAGGCTTCATGTGAGAAGTACAGTCTCCCAGGAGAGCTTTACACTTTTTCTTTCAGTGTTCCAGCGTCAGAACTGATGTACAGCTCATATCAGCCTCAGCTCACCCATGTTTGGTGTATATTCTATATATAATGTTTGCTTGCACTTTATTTTACAGTTTATTACCAATGTACACTTACTATAGAATTATGGTTTGATTTAAGATTAGTTGCATGTAATTGTGCATAATTTACTACATACAGTCTTCTCTAGTTTTAGGTGGCAGGTTGTTGGCTAGAAGAAGCTGCAGAGGGAACAAGACCTAATTGAGACACAGCATACCCCTGCTTTCCCACCCTGCATTCTAATGTTGAGATCTTTTTGTTATGACTGATCAACACAAGGGGTAAAACACAGACAGTCTCCTCCAAGCTCACCCATATCGAGAGAGCAACCCTCCAATTCATATAAACTCCCATAGGCCTGAGAATAAAAGACATTACCATGAAAGCGCAGATGTGGTGAGAGGAGACAGAAACATTGAGGCAAACTAGACACGTGTTGGAAATCCCAGCAAAATGAAGTTGGATAATGGTGGGATGAGCTAGCTGGGCTCTCAGATAGACTTCCTCCAGGTTATTTGTGAAGGTTTGATTCACGCTCTATTATTCTCAGCAATGGTATTTAATGACCCAAAGATGCCAGAGATAACACCACTTTGGATTTGTCCCATCTGGCCAAAAGTTTGCCACCTTCACTTCCTGAAACTACAGAAAGGCAATGGATGGTGAGCTCAAAAAGCACATCTGCATTACAAGCAGCCGGCTGTTACCACCATGACAGCCTGAAATATTGAAATCATGAAATGGCCATTCAGATTGAGGCTCTATATTTAATTGCGGGGGTACAGAAATGAACATATTATTGGGTCAGCTGTCAGGCCTGTCCTGATGGGAGACATCGGCCCATTACTGTGTCCATTATGGATGAACCTTTAATGTGCCAACACATTAGAGAGGACACGACTTCCAATTACAACCGTTTTACCCTCTGAGTCCCTGATGTGTAAGTCGTGCTTAAATCTCTGGCCGTTTCAGAGCGTAACTGCCGTCTATCAGAGTGATGTTGATGGATGACATCTGGACTGTACTCCACATTCACACAGTCACTTTCCATCCGTGCGTTCTCGTGCTCCAGCGATTGTGATGATTTAAAAAATGTTAATGCAGGAAACCATAAACTCTTTCATCAGTTCCTCTGTTGTTGTCACAGTAATAAGGGATAATCTTTCTCTTTTGAGTTGCGATTAGAGCAGGTGATTATGGTGATTTGAGTTTTTAATGGCGTTTCGTTTCTGTTGAACCGCCTGTGATTGTCGCTGAGCACAGGTGCTTCTTTCGGCTTTCAGCGGTGGAAGAAAGACACATAAAAGTAGAGAATAAAGCTATTGAATCCTTGTGTTTGCATGAGCACAGGCCCAGAGACGAGCTTTAACATGCAGAATGCAGTATGAATCGTCTGAGTCACTAACACAACGGTCACTTGTACAGTCACAGATATTTCACTCCTATCATTGTATCGCTCCATCTGCCTGCTATTTATCTTCAATTCTGGTTTCTTCCACAGGAGCTGAAGGTGTCCCATCAGAACGGCGCCTGCGCTTCGGTGGCTTCCTCTGTGCTCGTGGGACGGTCCTGGAGGTTTGACTGTGATGGACTCAAGCTGCTGTCATTGGGACTCGCTCTGGCTGCTGTAATCGTGGCTCTTTTGATTGAGAAGCTCCACTGACGCCGTAAATTCAACTCAACGTTTCGGCCTTATAGAGTGAGCAGCGACCCGAGAAATTAAACCAGTACTCAAATATAACGTCTTGTGTTTTAAGGTCAAATAAATGTAGATGAGGCTGGATGGTTTGGGACATTTCGTTTTTAACTGCTAATTAAAGACTGTGTTTAAATTTTAAAGGCTGAAACCTATTTTGCTTGCTAGTGACGCCATCCATTGTGACATTTTAGAAAAGCTTTCTTTTTTGTCAAGTACTTTTTTTGTTTGTAGAAATTGAAGCCTCTTTGCGTATGAACGAGGACAGCTTGAATGCGTCTTTGGCTTTCTGTTCATTTTCAATCCCAGCAGTCATTCATTCTCAGGCCAGGTGTCTCACTGTTGGCTTTGGGCTAAGAGCAGCAGACTCTTCCCGTCTTTGTTCCCAGCATAAAGCACGTCTAATAAATGAGACTCCACACTCTCAGCTCTGTCTCCCGGGTTGTATTTCTGGAATGTTTTCTCAGGGTTTTTGGCATGAGGAGGTCAGACGCTTTGTTTTGCACTCTTGTCAAGCTACAGTGTGTTTATGACCTCAGTCAGAATACTGTGTGTTATCATCTGTGTTCTTATATGCCAGATTAATTGAAAATATAATACTGTTGTTGACAGGATGAAGTGTATATAGAAGCCATGTATACTTTGTGCTCAGATATTACGGGAATACAGTGCAGTAACTGCAAACATTATGCCAAACCCTCATAAGCAATCCTACATACTGCTATGTTCATTCATTTGTCTTGTTGCCCTCAAACTGCACTAATGCCTGCATGTCTTTATGGTCCAGTGTACAATGTATAGACGCATGCTGTTGGCATTTCCTCGCCACAGGAATAGTCTTGTTTTATGTTGTTTCTTCAAACATTTCTTCAACAGAGGCTTTGTCAAAGCAGCTCAAATGAGCTTGTAGCTCTCCAGCGGTTGGTTCCTGGCCCAGTGTGTCGCTCCTGAAGTCCCCCACGCTGCCGTCTTACTGGCTGTGGCTTCTGCTGAGCGATCCATGTGAGCGTTTTGGAGTCAGCTCTGTCTACACGAGTGTGTGCAATGACGAGACACGCATAACCTTAAGCAAGCGGAGATCCCTGGGCGCGTTTGCAGTGTCGGCTGAAGCCTTAGCGGAGCTGACGCCAGTCCACTGGGATGTAGTCAACGCTCCTGGTGTGCCACGCTCTCCCAACATCCCTGGAGGATCTTCTGCCTCCTCAGAGAACGTGAACAGCGCAGATGAGAAGAGACCGCGGTGACCTCCGCACCGTGGAAATGCCAGTGTGTGTCTCTTTGAGCATGGAGACGGAGATCAAAGGAAGACGCTGCTTTCCTCAGGGACTCTGGATTGTTTTGAGATGCTTGAAATGAGCTCTTCTCCCATTTGTTCTCGTTTCTTGTAATTTAGTCAGTAAGGAATGAACATTCACTCCATTGTCTATCTTAATGCATATTGTTTGCTGGGTGCACACTGTATGATTTTGGACATGATTTGGCCATCTGAGGCAAATTTTCCTCTGCTCCTAGACCAAAATGTGTAGTTTTTGATGGCTAGTTTGATATGTTCGCAGCCACTGCGATCAACTTTTACCTCTGATGTAATTCTGCCAGTGTCGGAAGTTTCGAGTGTGGCTTCTTCTACGATGAGCGTCAAATCAAGAGCCATTGGGAGCACAGAACCTGCTGACACAATTAGTAAACAAAAAGAAACCACCATTCGCTCCACACTCATCGTCTTCATTTTTACCCCATTTGTCTTTTGAATAAGAGCTATGATTAAAATTAGCACTAGATACTGTTTTTGTTACAACTTCCTATTTTGATGTTGTTGTTTTTGTTATTAGTGTCTAGGGATGTAGGAAGTCAACAAAAAGAATACATAAAGAAAAATTAAATAAGTTATTAGAATTGGGGAAGTCGCTTGTTACTAATGACATGAGAAGTGTGTCATAATGAATAAAAAAGAAACCAGAAATGAGTATCAGCTAATTTTTAGTAAAGAATAATGTCCACCAAAACACTTCCAATGCTCTTTAAATTTAAAGTGTCAACCAAAGCTTCAAAAACCTAAAGACGATGATGTTTACAAATTATATACAAACATACTGATAAAAAACTCAACAGTGTAAGACATGAGCGGAGCTGAAAATAAAGAAATTAATAAAACGCATACTAACTTCAACCAAACCAACACTAATATAAATAAAAAAAGAAACAAAAACAAGTCTTCAGCATAAAACGTTGACTAACTACGCTAGCTAACCAAGCATATATGTGACCCTGCAGCACAAAAGCAGTCTTAAGTAGCGAACTTCATTTGGACAACTTTAAAGATGATTTTCTCAATATTTAGATTTTTTTTGCACCCTCAGATTCCAGATTTTCAAATAGTTGTGTCTCAGCCAAATATTGTTCTATCGTAACAAACCATACAATAATGGAAAGCTTATTTATTCAGCTTTCAATTTCGAAAAATTGACCCTTATGACTGACGGTTTTGTGGTCCAGGGTCACAAATACAAAGTTTGGCTCCCGCTCTTAAACTGGTGTTTTTATTCAAGCTAAAACTCGACATGTTGCTTTGTTTAGGTCACGTGACATACTAACCTTGTCTCAGCACTTTGAGTCAAGAGATGAATCCAGCAATCAACTCTTGAAGAGAGAGTGGCAATCAAATCACAGCACAGTCGGACAAATACAACAACATTTAGAGAAGTGGGAGCTTTGAGAAATAACTCAATCTATTAACTCGTGATTGCAACAGAAATTGGAAAGGTGGACAGTGTGACAAGCAAACGAGAGCTATCAGAAAAGGAAAAACGAGCGCTCCGTCTTGCGTCATTTCCGTGTCCTCACAGTAGGCTGTGTGATTGGTTCTGAAAGGAGAGTTGTCATCACGCTGACGATGAAGATCAACCGGGCTGATCACGGGACCTGAGACTTCGAGACTACAAGGTAGATGGAAAAAGAAAAACATCCCACAACATGACAGAACGTGACCGTTTGCAGAATGTGGCTCGCCATCACTGAATGTGTCACAGATTGAAGAAACACCAGTCATGTTTTCTGGTTTTAATGAGTATTGACTGTATTGAGTGTCATTTGCTCTGACTTTAATCCCGCACGGTGGCATGGCTTATTGCTGGATCATGTTTGTACAGTCTCAGTAAAAAGGTACAGAACTCTCACTGGAGCAGTTACCTTTCAAACGGTACTAAAATGTACTTGCAAGGTACTAATATGTACACTTTAGGTACTAGTATGTATTTTCAAAGTACCTTTAAGGTACTACTATGTACCATGTTGTTTTCCCACAGTGACAGCTTTGTTCCCTTTTTTGCTGAGTGTCCAGTCGTAAAGGACTATTGTAAATCATAGTGTTCACCCAGCTTTACTAACCTTTCTCAAAATGTCATAACTTACTCTGAGAATCATGTGGGTGTGGAAAACCAATTGTCAAATCTGTTCCCTTGTTATACAGTATGCTCTTGTAGGGATGAAGCGACTTCTAAAATCTCTCAGTTGCATATTTTAGTCAAATCCGTCACAAGACACTCAGCTTTTTGCGTTTGTCAAACACTTTTGTATCATATTTTTGTGAGTTGAAGGAATATGCAGTTTTGTGAAGTAGGCGATTTTACAATGACTTTGAAACAAACGCTCAGCAATCGTGTGGGTTTTTCGTTCTGAATGACAGCATCCGAGTCCTCCATGCACATTGTCTGTTCTGTTAAAGCAGTTTCTGTGTCTGGCTTCTGGGAGGGCCTCCAGTCGTTTAATTGGCAGCCTCACAGATGAACTAATTTCTTAAAGACGAGAGGGGGCGAGGGCTCTGATTGGCAGCTCGATGCCGGCGTGTGTGTGAATATCGAAACAGCATTTGTCCACAGTAAACACAGCCGAAGGGGAATTGTTCAGCTCCGACAGGACAGAGGACGACTCCAGCTGTAGAAGACACACATGCATATGCATAAAGCATTAGTGTGGAGCCACTGCTCTCGCTCTGACCCATAATTCAGTGCAGGAGTGCTGCCAGCTCACTGTTTATTAAAGGTGTTGAAAGTTCAGTGCCTCAAATAGCTTTGTGAGGAGAGCTGCTGTCAGTTCAGCCTGAGGGAGCTTCTGCTCATAAACACACACGTGTTTTATGCATGATCTTTTTTCCTTTTGTGCTTATTGAAGTCTATTATATTGACTCAACAGCCATCAGTGAGCGCTCTCTGGTTCACCTGTCATTGAACACTGTGGAGAAACAACGTTCAGTTTAGTGCAGCTCTGCACATTTGATTCCAGGTTTGTTTACTTAAGGCAAGGTTATTATCATTAACAAAAGCCTTTAAAACATTTCCGTTACTTGGAATAAAATAAACATGAACTAAAGAAACTTAAAGTTAATTATTAGCCAATTGCCAAGGCAACATTTCTCATTTTCATTTAGTTTATCCTTCCTGCAGTGAAAAAGTGGTCAGGTCTGAATCAGCTCTAAACAAATCTGTGGCTGGATGTTGCTGTGAGAGACGACAGGAGATGGACTTTTACTCTGGAGGAAGCGTTATTATGGATTATGGACTCGTATTTTAGTTAAAAACGTCTTAATGGGTTTGTCTCAGCTTTTGTCTTCTCAAGACATTAATTGGATTACTTGTGGATGATGTTTTTATTTTATTTTATTGTGACTCATTCTGACGGCACCTGTTCACTGCAGAGGATCCATTGCTGAGCAAGTGATGCAACGATACGTTTCTCCAGATCTGATATCTCCACATCTTGAATGACCTTAGGAAGAGGACATTTTTAGCAAATTTTCAATTTTGGGCGAGCTATTCCTGTAATTGAGCATATTATACAGGTCAACACAACCCTGAAAACTGTACACTTATTAGTCACTTGAGATATTAAAAGAAGCAACCATTTAAAGAACAGTGCAAATCAATTTCATTTCACATCAATCCACAATATTTCAGCACTGTTCATGACAAGCTGGAATGACATGGTATTGTGAGTCAATACAGCACAATGCTTTGCTGATGAGGCATTCTTCTGTTGTGACAGGGAAGTGAGAATCTCGTGGGTTTGGTGCACTCTTGACTTTCATGTAAATAAGGTCTGAATATTTCATTTCTGCCCTCAATCACGTCTCTGTTGTCGACATAATGCCCTCAGTCAGCGTCAATAAACCCAAACGAACCGCTCTGAGACAGAAACCCTATCTGTCAGAATGAAAGGAACCTTTTTCACCAAAGACACCAGAACTATGAGGACCGTTTGAAAGCCACAGTGTGAACGGCGTGTTTGTCTCACGCTAAATCCCGTTAGAGTCTGACCATTTCCAGACTGTGCTGTTCCCTGAAGCGCCGCTGCTTCTGTCGCGATGCTTGTTTAGTCAAACCCAGGGAAATGAGTTTTCATGAGCTTACAGACTGTATGTGGTGCTTTTTATCCTCTGTTTCAGCTGGGTGGCCCTTGTGTCTTGGATTGGAGCGTCTCGCTGCTTTATCTAATCCACACACACTTCTGCTGCTGCAGTGCACGCTGGGAGTTCAGCAGCCATTGTGACAGCGAGCGCTTCTGTTGAGTCGCTTGGGCTCTTGCCAGCATTGCTTGTGTTGAGGCTTATGCCTTTGACTTCGAGCGAGTGAGGCTGTTTGAATACGTTGGGGAGGGACCTAAATAAATATTTAGTGTGTCAACACAGTTGCTCATAACCGCTCTGAGTGACGCACACCTGAACATCCAAACATCAGAGAAACAACAGCTCGTTGCATCACTTAAAGCTGCTTTAAGCGTCTTTTCATCCTAATCTCACTGATAACTGTGTTGTTGCAATGAATGAGAAAGAGGCCTTACAGTGCAGTACAATTATGTAAAAACATCTTCAGAGACCAATCAGAGGTGCAGAACCAACTGCAAACTCAAGTCACCTTTATTTCTATAACACTTCATACATCAGACATGTTTTTAAGCATCTTTACAATAGTTAGGGTAACGCTAACGATGTAAACTTCATGAGATATGAGACACCTCTAAATTCTGCTGAGAAGCAGCTCTGAAAGGCAACAGTGTTATCTGACTGCAGGCTGTATTCCTGTGACCTCGAGGGATAATCATCAGTCGTATCTTCAGTGATGTTTTGATGTGTCAGGAAAGCTTGAATCTGTTCTGCCGTTAAGCAGCACCTATCAGTAATCCCTTCACACGCTCATCCAGCTCGTATTCCACTGAAACCTCGCTCAAGCTCGGCTAATTTGTTTGGTCTCTTGTTATTTTGTGTGCACTGACCTGTGGATGGGCGTCGTGGTGATGTCTTTTAATCAAGCTGCCGCCCGCAGAAGTGAACGATGACAGTGGAAATTGTCCCCATCACTTGGACTTCCTCTGAGTGCTGGGACCTTTGACACGAGCACTTCAAACCAAAGCAATTACGCTCCTGCTTGCCAGTCTCATCGCGGCAGGAGAGACGGACAGAAGGAATAATCACACATGAGCGCAGGGGAGACGGGGCAGGATCATACAAAATGCATGTTATTGTTTATTTAGTACTCACGTGAATAAGATATTTCACATAAAAGATGTGTACATACAGTCCACAAGAGAAAATAATAGTTGAATTTATAAAAATGACCCCGTTCAAAAGTTAAGATCCCCTTGATTCTTAGCACTGTGTTGTTAGCTGAATGATCCACAGCTGTGTTTTTGTTTAGTGATAGTGGTTCACGAGTCCCTTGTTTGTCCTGAACAGTTAAACTGCCTGCTGTTCTTCAGAAAAAACCCCAGCTCCCACAAATTCTGTGGTTTTCCAGCATTTTTGTGTATTTGAACCCTTTCCAACAATGACTGTATGATTTTGAGATGCATCTTTTCACACTGAAGACAACTGAGGGACTCATACGCAGCTATTACTGAAGGTTCAGATGCTCGCTGATGCTCCAGAAGGAGAAACCATGCATTAAGAGCCGGGGGGCTTTTGACTTTAACTGTATGTGAAAAAGGGTATAAACTGGGTATACATTTTTTTGTATTTATATACTTTAAGTCATGGTGTCTTCAAATATTGTTGTTGACAAAGGGGGCATTGAAATCATAAAGTTTGAAAAGCACTGCGTTAGATCAGAATATCAAGTTTAGTCAGAGAGTTTACCTCAAATCAGAGCAAACTATATTAATAATATATATTATATTAACTGTTAATCAACAACCTAGAGATGAACTAGACATTATTTTTAATGATACACACTGTTTGAAGACTGAATTCTGAGGACTGAAGAAGAATAAATAATGGGCAGCCTTTTTTTCAGAAAGTGAAACAATAACACTCATTTTTCTTAGACCATGAGAGCAATCAACTGAACTTTGGTAGATATGATGCATTTTAAGGGTGTGGATGGAGAGATCCAGCCATACAGACACACATACTGATGGTAAGTGAACCCTTATTCCACTTCTATACCTTAAAACTCAAACTCAACATGCTCTTTCTGTTCACAGATGATTCCCACTCCATGAGCTCCTCTAAACACAGGCGAGCCGGTCTAGAAGAGATGGCATTGACGAGCACAGCTCGAGAGCGGAGCCGTGTTTATCCACTGTGAAAGTGAGCCGTCTAATTACGGCCACAGCACTTAGCCCTACATCCACATCTGCCCTAACGACCGACAACTTCCACTAATTGAAGATAAGTCACACTATTTGGAGTGGCGTAATGATGTTACTGAGCCATAATGGGACACAAAATGAAATGAATGTGGATAGTGAGTGATGGTTATTCTGCTCTCCAGCCAGACGAGTGCAGCTAATTAGCTTTGTCCTCCACCGCTCAGCCTGTACTTCATTTACCAAACTGTTGTGCTACCAATCAAGAGATGAACGAGCAATTCAGCTTTAAGATGCAATCAAGAAACCGTCCCGTGAAGTGGCTGAAGCCTCAGGTTTGTTGTCCCAGGAGCGTCTCGAGTCTTCATTTACACTCTTAAACATAAAGGTTCCAGAGCAGATTTTAGCAGAGATGCCATAGAAGAACCATTTTGGTTCCCCAAAGAACCGTTCAGTGAACAGTTCATAAAGGAACCATGTTTTTCTTAGTGTGAAGGACAGTTTAATAATCTAAAGAACCTTTTTTCTGCTTTAAAGATCCTTTTGTGCAGTGGAAAGTTTCCGTAGATGTTAAATGTTCTTCATGGAACCATCAACGCCAGTAAAGAACCTTTCTTTCTAAGAGTGTCGAACCAACGATCAGCTTTTCTTGAGAATCTGACCAAATGGTCTAAGGTCCAGTGTTCATTATAAGTTTATTTCTGATGGACATCATCTTCAGCTCGTCTTCAGTGTGTTTTAGTGAAGTATTCCCAGTCACAATCTCTTCCCAGCACCATTTTTCTCTCTTTCTCTGCCTAGGCTGTCTGTTACGGGTCAGACTCGGGCAGAACCACCTCAATCTGACCGATGCTTTTTTCTGAACCTCATGGCCCATCACAGGACAGTACATGCTGGCAGCTCTGTAAACATTATTCTTATCTCCAGCAGGTCTCTCTGGGACTCCATGAAGACACGCACTGCATTAAAGGAGCTTCATCGTCATCATCATTGCTAATTAGCTTCTGTTCAGCACCGTCTTTTATTTTTGTTGGCGCTCTTTCTGCTGGCGGTGTGATGGCATGTCTGTTCACAGCTCTCTGAGCAGGGGGTCCTACATATGAAACGCAATTAAAGACGTTTATGAAGCTGCCTCACAGCGAGAGGAGGAGAGCGAGACACAACAGATAGAGACGAGGAGAAGATTATTTTGTGTGCTGCAGAAAGCGTCCCCTGACAGCTCCAGTTAATTCAGTGTCAACCGCGACTCCTACACACACAGAGCGAGAGGAACTCGGGGAGGAAAACACAAACTGTTGGAGCACAGAGGCAGACACACAGGGCTTTGAGAGAGAGATGGAGGATTCATACACAGGGCAGCGCTGACAGAATTTGGAAATGTCTGTTACCCACAATGCTCCAGTGCTGGCTAGAGAAGCAATTACAATTTCACAGGTTGGAATTAAAATCCCCTGTGCTACGTGATAGAGAAACACGGGCTGTCAAAGTGATTTCAAGCTGTTTATCTCCCACTGTGTTAAGACCAAAAACTGATTCCTAGAGCGAATGTCATTTTTTCACCCACTCAATCTTTGAAAAAGAGGAATTTGAATTATAATTACCAGGAAGGTAAAAGCGGTGTGTATTGTGATGATGCGGCAGAAGACGCTCGGCAACAATCCTCGTTTTCCATAAGTTGATGCAAACGTTTCTAGGTCACGTAGTATCTATAAAGAGAAGTATCAGAGGATTACACATCTCCAGAGGGAAGAGTTTCTCATTGGGACGTTTTTCTTTCTTCCCGTTTTGGTGTCTGGAGTTCCTCTAGTTTCTGTCCTTGTGCTGTAATATAAAGCAGCGTTATTGCCTTGTGGCTCACAGCTGTGTTTAAAAAACGATACATGTTCACTAAAATCAAATTTAAATTTAAGTTGTAGTTAAATAAATTAAAAAAACTATTGTTTCTTATTTTGAATAATTTTAATAGCTTTGCTGCAATAAATAATAGCTTTACTGCAGGAATCTTCTGACCTTCTCCAAATGAGCAACTGTTTGGCATCTTGCTGCTTTGCAAGCTAATAAAAATGTTCATGTCTTAGGTGTGTGCGTAGTGCAGTGTTGCGCTATGTTGTAGCGTTGCTGTGTCATTGCATATTCTTCTGATATCTCTGTAATTGTCTGTTGTGCATTTTGCATAGCAAACCCGCAGATTTGAGTAATGAAAAATGCATGCAGCATCAGCGTCGTCTGGCCATCTTTGGGATCTGCTGACCTGTGTGTGCTTATTCTTGCACTTCTGCAATATTAATATGTGTGATTTGTGGCATTGAAGTCGTTTAAGGTGGAAAGTGTTTCTAAATGGCCCCTGTGTTGTTCAGGAGCGCTTCAGAGGCATATTGAATGGAATGGGTCATTCGTGATTTCCTTCGACTTCATATGCGTCAGCTTCAGTGTGCGTCACTGGAAGAGAAGAGTGTTTCTTCACATCTCTCCCCTGTGTCGTCTTCTTTCTCTCCTGTTTTCCTGCTCTAGCAGAAGAGGATAATCTCCCCGGCCTTTTGCCGCTCTCTTGATCTGGCCAGAGACCTTCTCCTGCCCCAGAGACACAGTCAAATCAGGTTGGTCATGGATTCAGCCTTTGATTCGGTGCTAGGACATTCTCCAGAGCAAGCTAGGAGACCCAGAGCACCGTGAGCACTGAGTTCGGCTTCAAAACCTCCCTCGCTTCAGTGCGCCTGATAAGAGAGCGCTCCAATCACCCATGAGAGAGAGAGGCCTGCTACCTAGGGATCCAGACTGAATACAGTATCTCTGCTCTCCAGGTCCACCACAGCCACAGCAGAAGAAAACACTGGCAGCTGAAACAATTATCAACAATGGCTTACATCTAGCGAGAGAGAGATATTGATTTTACAGGTGCCGCAGATTCTGCCCAGCGGGGAGTTTATAGGTCAGAACGTGCCTCTGAGAATCTTCTGTGCATCCGTCCTAAACAGCTTCAATCCTCTGGAGACGGAGATGTCTGTGTGCTCTTCCTTTACTGCAGTTCTTTCCTGCTAAATTAGAGTGGATTTCATGTGTTTGGCTCTGCTTGGATGGACTCAGTATTTGCATGGTCTCACTTGAGCACAAGCTGATGTTATGTTTTTGCATGCCCTCCTTGATAACAGGAATGTTGCAGTTCCCTCCTGTTTTCCATATGAACTTCAACTGAACACAAAGACACGACTCCCGGCACGGATCAGTTGGAGGCAGTCGATACAGGCCGCAGCTGCTCATGCTGATGCTCGACGGCGCTCTCAGGCAGGAGTTTGTGCTGTAAGATGCTGACAGTGAGTTTCTGCAGGCAGGAGATGAGACTCCTCAGCTCAGTCGGGTCAGCGTCTTGGCTCTGGAGTTACTGTTGGGTCCGTGGATTGATTCCTGAGCCAATGTCTTGGCTGCAGGAGTTGGACTGCAATGAAAACGCGAGGAGTATGAGTTGGAGATTGTTGATCATCAGCTGCAGGGCTCGTGTTTGACCTGCTCCAGCAGTTCTCATCTCACACACAGCTGCGCTCACTTGCTCTTGACTTCAGCCAGAGTTTATATGTTTTAATAAAAATAACCTTTACATTTTGTCCATGTTTCGTAATGTCATATTCATTAATTTTAGTCAGTTTTTCAGGGTTTTTTATATGAAAATTCTGTAGTTGATGGGAAAGTGCTAAATTAAACCAAAGACTCGTAAACCAAAGAAAACCAAAGATGTATTTATGTATTAATTTAAACGTATCAAAACAATGTGAAAATAGTTAACAGTTTTGTGTTTTTTGTGCTTTAGTTATTGATTTTCCGTATTTTTGTGCATTTTTACAGAAAAAGCGTATTCACAATGTGACACACATTCTGACTAGTGTGTAGTTTAGATTAAGCTAATTTGTGCATTATCTAATTAATCTCATATAGAATGCTTTTGGTGATTTTAATTAAGCCACTAGTAAAGCGTTTCAGTTACCAGTGTTCATTGAATGTTCAATTTCAATTCACAAGCTCAAATGCCAATGTCTGACATTATTGATTATGATTGGATTATAAAAAAGGGTAATCTTTCTAGATTTTTCTTCAAAACCTTGAGAAGTGAATTATTCTAATTTTACAGTGTTCTATTTGTACTTGTCATATTTTCATCAACAATATATTAAAATGTCATGGAACAATTTGTCAAAAAAAACCAACCTTTGCTAACCTTTGCTGTGATTTCACTGGCAAGATTAACAATGACCTAAAACAGTGTTTTTCTGGTCAGCAACTAGCCAACAAAAGCAGTGTTTGAGCAGCAGACCAGCTTGTTAGTGATGTGCAGACCATCCAATACGTCATGCTGTATGCCGCGTCAAATCTTCCAGAATATTTTGTCCACTGGAAAAACATTGTTTCAGTGTGACAACTGAATGACTGACACACAGATGCGCAACAGTAAAACATACTGAACAGGATTTATTTTTATCCCTCAAAGCCTTGTTTCATTTCACATCAAATGAAATAGGTGGTCTACCCTGGCTAAGGTCTGTAGTGACTAAACAAGTCAACGAACATTTCTCAATTAATAAGACTTGTTAACATCTGTACTATCGTCACTGGTCTCTCACACTGTTCATGAGTGTGTTATTAAAGTCTGTGGAGGAGGAAGAGTATGTTCTTTCAGCGTCACTCTAGTCCTAACCTCTCCATGCTCTCAGTGTCGTTCTTCTCTACAGCTGAGCCTCAGACGTGTGTTGGCATGAATGATGAGTATCCCTCTCAGGCCTCCTCCATGTTCTCCGCTGTGCTGTGGATTGATTTTATATGCTGTGCTCTTCAGCCTCTTGCGTGATGGATGTAATCAAGACTGGAGGCGAGAGGCCCCGGATCATTGTCTGGCAGGAGGGCACGGGGCCAGAGGAAGGGGCACGGTTGCCAGGGGCCCCGTCAGCTGCGATTTGATTAAAAAGGGGCTCCTCAGTGGAGCTGTGAAGCAGCGGGGGTCCAGACCGTCCCACTGCGGTCACCCATCGCTGATTAGCCACAGATCAAGCACAACCAGAGCGATCAGAGACCGAGAGTGTGGGAGGGAACGGGTGAACGGCCGTGTTGCATTCGCATTGCATCAGCTCACAGTTACGAGATCGGGAGCTGTCAGTTTTAGACGGGCTAATGGCTTTTGCGGACTGTCAGAGCGGATGATAATGGCTTTTGGCCTCTGACATTCTCCAGACTTGTTCGGCTGTCGCATTACTCTGAACGCTCTCTTTTCAAGCGGCGGCTGGCTGATCAACACTCTTAGATTCTGCCGTCTCTCCTGAGTCCTCTCAAAGGCCAGGATCGGTAAATAATGTTAATTAATGGAGAGGAAGAGCACCTCCGTCCTGACACGTCCTTTCATGGCGAAGGGCGAAAGAGAAATGTCAGTGCCGTAAATGGTCCGACGTGTCACGACTGGACAGATTAACCGTAGTTACGTCCAAACGCTTGTTTGTTTTGAGTCTCTTTCTGCTGCTGAGCTAAACATGTAACTCGAGAACGCCATCGATTCTTCTTGTGTTTTATAGAAAAGAAGATTTCTCTGCGTGGCAAGGGACGTGTTGTTGATGTAATGGCTGATATGTGGGTGTTTGGAGCTGTGTTTTGTTGTTGTTGTTACTCTAGCGCTCTCTATTTCTTCGTATTGCACTAGTGTTGGGCTCTGAGCTCAAGCAATTACAGCTCCGAGAGTAAAGACTGCGGTATAACGGCATTACAGCAGCTGCTCAGAGCCTCTGCTGTCACACGCTAGTTTAGAAAGATGTAGGAAGAAGTTTTCAGTTTTACTCAATGCTAAAACCTTGTTAAGTTTGAATTACTGTGCCGTTTTGTGGAAAGAAATGAAAGTACAGTACACTCCAGACGGCATAGTGCTTCTGTCTCGCCACAGAGCATGTAACATTTGACACATAAACATCTAAGAAGCTCGGCCTTTGAGATCACAAAGGATATAAAGTTTGAAGCCTGTATTTTTGAAGACGGAGGCAGCAGTGAGTCTCTGAGCAGCGCTGCCGGGGATGAATCCCTGCTGCAAGAGACCAGGCGTTGCTGTCCAA